ATGTCAAGAAAATCCTACAGAATGTGACTGGTAAATCCTGAGCACAGTCACATGCTACATTACAAATACATGCACACTTGTACAACCCTTTTTTTTTTCCTTTTTCCTAAAATGTTTCTATTTGTGTTTTTTGCTTGAATCTGTTGGCTAATATATCATATTAAAGGTGAAAAAAGATTTTATATGATTTATGTTGGTTTTATTTTTTTGCATCACAAAAACCTGCTATTTTAACAAGGGTTTGTAGACCATTTTTATCCACTGCAGGTATACTACAGTAGATAAAACAGGTACAGTGTAGTGTAGTATATAAAATTCTGATAGTAAAGTGTACTATAGTAGGTTTTGGTGTATTAAATAGTCAGTATACTGTTATAGTGTAGGACAGGAGATAAAATTGTCATAATTTAGTATAGTGTAGTAGATAAATAGATACAATATGATATAGTACAGTATAATAGATAAAATTGTTATAGTATAGCACAGTAAAGTATAATACAGTATAGCAAATAGAATAGATATACTGTAATTCCATCCAAGCTTATGCACTGCACATGGACTTTAACTGATATTGAACATGAAAAAATGTTTAAATATGTGTGTTTTTAATGAGCGCAATATGTAAAATGGAAATGAGAGTCAGCTCTCAGAAGGTAAAGACTTGAGGTATATAGCACAGTACAATGTAGCAGATAAAAATGGTATATTTCAATGCAAACTCCTATACTGCATGTCTAGTATAACTTGTATTGACCATTAAAATGTTTAAATTTGTGTGTCCCAAACCTGTATATATACAGTATAGTTTAGTGTAGTAAAGTATAGTACAAAATAGCAGATTAAAAAAAGTTATATTTCCAGCCAATCTCCTACAGTGCAAGTGTAAAATGGTAAATGACCTACTAGCCTCTGATCAGGGTTGTGTCTCCTTGCTCGTGTTGGTTGACCTTAGTGCAGCCTTTGACACCACTGATCATGCTATTCTCCTCGTTTGTAGATGTAAATGACGACTTCTCTACGCATACTAAGGTAAAGTTTGGTGTTCCTCAAGGTTCTGTTTTAGGCCCATTGCTCTTTTCTTTATATATGCTACCTCTTGGCAAAATTATTTGTAAACATTGTATTAGCTTCCACTGTTATGCTGATGACACACAGTTGTATGTTTCAGCAAAGCCAGGTGACAGACACCAGTTTAATAAAGTTGAGGAATGTGTAAAGGACATTAGACACTGGATGCTTATTAACTTCCTTTTACTTAATTCTGACAAGACAGAAGTGCTTGTACTAGGACCACATGCAGCTAGAAGTAAGCTTTCTGATTACATAGTAACTCTGGATGGTCTTTCTGTTTCATCATGTGCAGCAGTAAAAGACCTTGGTGTGATTATTGACTCCAGTCTTTCATTTGAAGCTCATGTAGATAATATTACTGGGATAGCCTTCTTTCATCTCAGAAATATTGCTAAGATAAGAAATATAATGTCACTACACAATGCAGAAAAATTAATTCATGCTTTTGTTATCTCTAGGTTGGATTATTGTAACGCCTTACTATCTGGGTGTCCCAGTAGATGCATAAACAAGCTCGAGTTAGTCCAGAATGCAGCAGCGAGAGTCCTTACTAGAACCAGAAGATATGACCATATCACGCCTATCTCATCCACACTGCATTGGCTCCCAATCAAATTTCTCATTGATTATAAAATACTACTATTGACCTATAAAGCACTGAATGGCCTTGCACGTCAGTACCTGAGCGAGCTTTTGGTCTTTTATGATCCACCACACCTACTTCGATCAAAAGGTGCAGGCTATTTGTTGGTACCTCGAATAGTGAAGGCTACAGCAGGGGGTAGAGCTTTATCTTACAAAGCACCACAGTTATGGAACAGCCTTCCAATTAGTTTTCAGGGCTCAGACACAGTCTCAGTGTTTAAGTCTAGGCTGAAAACATATTTGTTTAGTCAAGCCTTTTATGAATAGTTTTTTTTTTCTTAGGTAAAGGAGCAGTTCTGGAGGGTTTACAGTCATAGAGTGTAGTAGTGAACTGAGATCTTTGGATGCTGTCACCCCCCACTCTCACACATTCACTCAGTGTGTTGACAGTGGGGTGGCTGGCCGCTTGATGCCCCAGGGCGCTCGCATGTCTGTGTTACCTTCTGGCTCTCCCTTTTAGTTATGTTGTCATAGCTAGTCTTGCCATAGTCCCTGCTTGCACTCTGCACGCACAGTACATTGTCCTTAACCATTATGGGACAAAAAGCATACCTAACAATCTCTCCCGCTCTCTCCCTCTCTCTCTCTGTTTCTCTCTGTCTCTCTCTCTCTGTCGAGCTACACATGCTACTCCTGAGATACCCGGACCTGCCTGATCCATCCTGATGCCCTACTTCTGGTTAGAGTTCTCATCGGTTGGAGATCGCTCGCTGCTGCTGGGGGTGGCCCCACATGGACGGCCTGAAGAGTGGGATTGCTGGGTATGGTGCCACTTGGGGACTGTGGAGATGGCTTTGGACTGCGGTTCATACAGGCAGTTGTACTGTGATGGCTTGGGACTGCAGTTGCTGTGGTGGCTTTGGGGCTGCGGTTGTGGCAAGCAGTTTTGCACTCAGGTCTCCATCAGTGAACAGTGGATAGGGTCAACAAAACAGACTTCATGTGAAAACTGTAATGAATTTACTGGTTGCGCAATTGAACTATTTGTCCATGTAGTAAACAGTGATAGAAGGTATTTATTTATAATTGCACTATCCGGTGTCACCCAGATGAGGATGGGTTCCTTTTTGAGTCTGGTTCCTCTCAAGGTTTCTTCCTCATATCGTTTCAGGGAGTTTTTCCTTGCCATCATTGCCTCTGTCTTGCTCATTAGGGATAAATTCACATATTTACAATTTAGATCCTGAATGTATTTATTTCTGTAAAGCTGCTTTTAACAGTGGCCATTGTTAAAAGTGCTATACAAATATATTGAATAGTTTAACTAGTATCGACCATTAAAATGTTTACATTTGTGGATCCCAAACCTGTATATTTTATTGAGTGCAATCTACTGGAAATTAGACTGTCAGATCTCAGCTCTAGAAAGTGATAGTGCAAAAGTAAGTGCACTCCTGTGGTACTCTTGACCACCTTAACGCACCGTGTGAATTTGGTGAAGATCTGAGAATTCAGAATGTTTTGCCAAAAAAAAAAAAAAAAACGGTAAGGGGTTAGCCTTTGTGTTTTTTTGGGTGAAAACTTCTGCGTACTCTGATATTCACCAAATTCACATCGTGCATTAAAGTGGTCAAGACTAACACAGACGGGCACTCAGTTTTGTTTTTAACATGCTCCAGAACTGAGGAATAATATGGTATAGTATAGTATAGTATAGTGTAATTTAGTCTACTACAATATAGCAGATAAAAAAAAAGTTATATTTCCATCCAAGCTGCTGCACTGCACATGTAGTTTAACTAGTATCAAGCATTAAAATGTTTAAATTTATGGATCCCAAAACTGTATATTTTATTGAGAGCAGTATATTGGAAATGACAGCAACAGATCTCAGCTCTAGAGAGTGATAGTGCAAAACTGAGTGCACTCCTGTGTTACTCTTGACCACCTTAACGCACGGTGTGAATTTGGTGAAGATCCGAAAACGTAGAATTTCTTTGCCCAGAAAAACGGTAAGGGGTTAGCCTTAGTGGGTTTTTGGGTGAAAAATTCCGCGTTCTCTGATTTTCACCAATTTCACAAAGTGTGTTAGGGAGGTCAAGACTAACACAGGAGTGCAATCACTTTTGTTTTTAACATGCTCCATATCTGAGCAATAGAATAGTATAGTATAGTCTAGCATAGTATAGTATAGTGTAGTATAGTATAGAATAGTATAGTGTAATTTAGTCTACTACAGTATAGCAGATAAAATCTTATACTTCCATCCAATCTCCTGCACTGCACGTGTAGTTTAACTAGTATTTTAAATTTAAATTTGTGGATCCCAAACCTCTATATTTTATTTACTGCAGTATATTGGAAATGAGAGCATCGGATCTCAGCTTTTGAGAGCGAAAGTGCAAAAGTAAGTGTAATCTTGTGTTAGTCTTGATCACCTTAACGCACGGTGTGAATTTGGTGAAGATCTGAGAACGTCAATTTTTTTGCCCAAAAAATGGTAAGGGGTTAGCCTTTGCGTTTTTTTTGTGTGAAAATTTCAGCGTTCTCTGATTTTCACCAAATTCACACCATGTGTTAAGGTGGTCAAGACTAACACAGGAGTGCACTTAGTTTTGTTTTTAACGTGCTCCTGAACTAAGCTATAGTATAGTATAGTATAGTATAGCATAATTTAGTCTACTAGAAAATAGCAGATAAAAAAATTATATTTCCATCCAAGCTGCTGCACTGCACATGTAGTGTAACTAGTATCGACCATTAAAATGTTTAAATTTGTGGATCCCAAACCTGTATATCTTATTTACTGCAATATACTGAAAATGACAGCATCGGATCTCAGATTTAGAGTGTGATGGTGCAAAACTAAGTGCACTCCTGTGTTAGCCTTGACCACCTTAACGCACAGTGTCAATTTGGTGAAGATCCGAGAACGTCAATTTTTTGCCCCAAAAAATAAAACGGTAAGGGGTTAGCCTTTGTGATTTTTTGGGGGGTGAAAAATTCAGCGTTCTCTGATTTTCACCAAATTCACAAAGGGTGTTAGGGAGGTCAAGACTAACACGGGAGTGCACTTAGTTTTGTTTTTAACATGCTCCAGAACTGAGGAATAGTATGGTTATTGTATAGTATAGTGTAGTGTAGTGTACTACAATGCTGTTGTTCTTCTTCTCCTTCTGGCTGCTCCTGTGAGGTCGCCACAGCAGATCATTGGTCTGCATGTTTGATTTGGCACAGTTTCTATGCCAGATGCCCTTCCTGATGCAACCCTCCCCAGTTTTATGCTGGCTTGGGACTGGCACTGGGAGTGCATTGTCTTGTGCAACCCCAGTGACTGGGGTCGGTTCCCTGGCCAGGAATCAAACCCAGGCTGCAGTAGTGAGAGCACCGAGGCCTAACCACTAGTCCTCCAGGGATCCTATAGTCTAATTCAATATAGCAGATTAAAAAAGGTATATTTCCATCCAAGCTGCTGCACTGCACGTGTAGTTTAACTAGTATCAACCATTAAAATGTTTAAATTTGTGGATCCCACAAATTTTATATATATTTTATTTACTGCAATATATTGGAAATGAGAGCATTGGATCTCAGCTTTAGAGAGTGATAGTGCAAAAGTAAGTGCACTCCTGTGTTAGTCTTGACCACCTTAAAGCACGGTGTGAATTTGGTGAAGATCTGGGAACGTAGAATTTTTTTACCCAAAAAATGGTAAGGCCTTTGTGGGTTTTTTTTGGGTGAAAATTTCAGCGTTCTCTGATTTTCACCAAATTCACACCATGTGTTAAGGAGGTCAAGACTAACACAGGCATGCACTCAGTTTTGTTTTTAACATGCTCCAGAACTGAGGAATAGTATAGTATAGTATAGTTATAGTATAGTTATAGTATAGTGTAATTTAGTCTACTACAATATAGTAGATAAAAAAAAAGTTATATTTTCATCTAAGCTCCTGCACTGCACGTGTAGTTTAACTAGTATCGACCATTAAAATGTCTGTGAATCCGAAACCTCTATATTTTATTAAGCGCAGTATATTGGAAATGAGAGCATTGGATCTCAGCTTTTGAGAGTGATAGTGCAAAAGTGCGTGCACTCCTGTGTTAGTCTTGACCAACTTAAAGCACAGTGTGAATTTGGTGAAGATCTGGGAACGTAGAATTTTTCGGCCAAAAAATGGTAAGGGGTTAGCCTTTGTGTTTTTTTGGGTGAAAATTTCAGCGTTCTCTGATTTTCACCAAATTCACACCGTGTGTTAAGTAGGTCAAGACTAACACAGGAGTGCACTTAGTTTTGTTTTTAACGTGCTCCAGAACTGAGCTATAGTATAGTATAGTATAGTATAGTATAGTATAGTACAAGCATAATATGGTAGTGTAGTGTGCTGTAGTGTAGTATAGTGGTATAATTGTAGTATAATTGTTACGGTATATTGTAGTAGATAAACAAGTGCAATACACTACAGTAGATAATGTTATGGTGTAGTGTAGTATAGTACAATATAGCAGATAGAAAAGCTATATCTCTATCCAGGGTCCTGCACTGTACGTGTCTTTAACTGGTACTGACCACCAAAATGTTAAAATTTGCGCGTTCCAAGCCTGTATATTTTATTGAGTGTAATATATTGGAAATTAGTGTTAGTTTTGCCCCATCATGCTCCAGAGCGGAGATCTAAGTGCACTCCTATGTTAGTCATGACCACCTCAACACACAGTGTGAATTTGGTGAAGCTTGGAGGACGTCAAAGATTTTGCCAAAAAAAAAAAAAAACATTAAGGGCCTTTGTTTTTGTTTTTTTGGTTTTGGTTTTTTTGGGGGGTTTTTTGAGGTGAAAAATTCAGCCTTCTCTGATTTTCATGAAATTAAAGTACATTAGGGAGGACAAGCTAGCACAGGAGTGCACTCTACTTCCTCCTATTACGCTTCAGAGATGAGATCTGAGTGCTTTAATATGCTTCAACTGTCCATGTACAAAGTGGGAACAAACTTATATTATAGGGAGAGCCAGACAGAACAAAATTATCAGAGCAATATTTCCATTCAATCTTTATTCATGCTTTAATGAATTTTACCCCATACACAGCTTAGATAAATACACTTCAAATACAAAAAAAAAAAAAAAAAATACATAAATGTTTTTAGTGTTAAAGCAAACAGTGGATGTAGGGTTTTGTGATCTTTTGGTCACAAAAATATTTAGAAAAAAATATTTGAAACCATGTGTCTTCTGCAGAATCACTGAGTTGATCAGAATCAGTTTTTGGCGTTTGTAGTTCTTTTACTGAATAATATTATACGAACGAGGTGGGGACTGAACTTAGCGTCAACTCCACATTGTTAATCCTTTCTTAGGTAAACTTGTGGAGTGTCTTGTTTGACCTTTAGGAGAAAATTACAAAAGGGTTCCAATACCACATCAGTTGTATCAGTAACATGATACAAAAAAATTATGCAAAAAGTTTTGTCCAAACAGTTCACTGTTTCTGAATTTATGTAAAACTGTGCAATTTTGCATTAATCTGATTTCCTAATAAACGGATCACTGCTGTTAAACTGTTCCTTGTTTTAAATCCACCAGTAAGGTACAACATTTCTAAAGGCACTTTGATCCCCCACATACAAAACTTACAGTCTCGTCGCCCCCTAGTGGCCATCCTCAATCCTACATTAAAACATTGAGTGAAGGAAATATAAAAATACACTGTTACACAAATGATACACACAGCAGTCCTGCTGATATACTCGAATAATAAAAACATTAGAGAGATACAAACTAGCTGGATAATAGTCTTTTTTTCAGGATGAGTGGAAACATCTGTTCAGAGTGGAATAGATCCAGTCTTCAATGCAGCTTCTTTACATAAACCCAGAGCTGGAAAGAGAAACAGCCACATGTCAGAAACTATAAAATAAGGTTTGTAAATAGTAACTTCATTTCTCAGTGCAGGTTTAATCAGCTCATCCACTTTTAAACAAATAATAGCAAATGGTGCAAGCGTGAGACACAAAATATTTGACCTGCTTTATACTACTTTTATAAATTTCCTCCACTGCAACTCTTCCATTTTTCTTGCTCATCACACACTAAGGGCGAGGGGGCGTGTCCTTAACACTGCAGCCCTTTGCTCATCTGGCGCTACATTTCAATAGAGAGGCTTTGTAAGCAAGAGGGGGAAAAAAAAATCTAACTAATGAAGGAGGCTCATTGTCACAGATACCCACGAGCTGTTTTAAAGACTGTAACATTTTTTTCTTATACTAAAAAGTAGATAAAGACACAGAAGAGGCTACATAAAATTCCTAATTTTTTGTTAATGCAAATTAGAATAAGAGGACTTTAATATATTTCATATATCTGATAATATAAAATATGTGTTTATGACCACACCCCCTTGTTGCCAAGCCCTATGTAAACACTAATAACCATACTGATGTTGACTGACAATTAGTTTATATCTCTAGTTCACATCATTAGCTGAAAAATTATAACAGCTAACAGAGTGTGAGTTACAGACATCGTTAGGTGAGCGTGCTGCTTACTTCTTGCGGTCTTTGTCCTTCTTGAGGTTGGAGTTGGAGCTGAACGATTGGCCCTGCAGGAGCTCAGCCGCAGCTTTCTTTTTACTGAAGGAGTTCATCTCATCCTCCAGAGCCTTCCTCTTCTCATCCAGCTTGCTCTTCTCGTCAGCATGCAGACGCTTCAGCTGCTCAAACTTGCCCTGGAGCTACACACACACACACACACACACACACACGTCATGATTTCTTTCTGAGTCTGAGTATTACTTCAGGAGGCAAAATGCTTAAAGAGGCTCAACCCAAATTGAACATTTGTCTTAAAAACACTTTCAGGCTGCATTACTGTGAAGGAAAACGGAAGAGCTTAATTTATTATTATATTACCGTTTACATCAGTAAGAATATGGATGGAGATCTCTCAGGTTTAATCTCCCACACTGCTCCTTTAATCTGCTCCATCTGTGTGTGAGTGTGTGTGTGTGTGTAGAGGAGTACTTCCTCTCATTCACTCCTTCACAGTGTGTGTTTAATCTGTGTATCAGGATGGATACCTCTCTCTCGGCCTCCTTCAGTTCTGTCTCTTTCTCTTTAACACGCAGGACAAACATCTGCCTCATCTCCTCCTCTCTCCGCTGCAGCTCCAGCAGGAACTCCTGACGCTTCGCCTCGTACGTCTCCTGCAAGCTGAGCAGACACACAAATTACTGTGCATCATCCAATCTGTCTAACAAGATCTGTCTACAAGTGGATCCTTGGGCAGCTTTGACAAATAACTTGTTTGGTTTTGCTGTCATTAATTCAAATAGATAAAAACAGATAAATAGTCACGTGTCGTTCATTAGTAAAATTGTATTTGTTTAAAATTGTAAATTGACAATAAAATTGTAATTGTTGGCAAAAAAGAGGAATAAAACACATCAGGACATGGTGTTATTGGAAAATAAACCCAACATACACTCCAATGAAGCGCACACACAGATGATACAAGCCCAGAAAACACACACATTAAAGCCACGCTAGCTGTTTGTTTCTACCTGACTGGTTTGCTGTCAGCGTCTGTGTCCTTAAAGCCCATCTCCTCCAGTTTGCAGCGTCTGTAGAGCTCGTAGTGGCGTGTGTGCGTCTGCTCCCGCAGGTCCTCCATGTTCACGCAGATCAGCATCTCCCGCAGCTTCACAAAATCACAGTGGTTCTCGTTCTCCACTGAAACACACACCAACAATGGTGCTTCAGCAAGTGGGACACACATACAGCATGAAAAAAAAAAAAAAACACACACACACACAGCATACCTTGCACCACACCCCAGGGGTACTGTCGCGCTTTCACCATCTTGTTCCCAATCTTCACCTCCTCTGTGCTTCCCACCACAGCAAACGGCAGGTGGCCCTGGAAACCACACACAGAAATTGTAATACGCTTTATCATTTGAGGATTCTTCCATCCTAATATACAAAGTTAGTCAGTTGTTATAATAAAATATTTCCTAAGGGCTCACATGATTCATGATGTTTCCCTTTTTAGTACTTTAGTTTAAAAAAAAACAAAAAAACAACACACACACACAAATGTCAGAGATGCTGTCAACTAAAGCCAAACTTCAGGAATCACTGGGACAAATACAGAACACCAAACACAAAATGCCAGCATTTTTGTTCATTTATTTTCCCACATGTTTATGTACCATTGCATATATGTTGCTCTGATTTATATATTTTCAGTAAAACCTTTGCAGTGTTCACTGTCTTCAATCAATCTTTTTATTATGCCATGCACTATATCCTGCCATTGTTTAAATATGTCATAGATTACACTTTGAGCAATTAAACAAATGTTTAGGCTAGGGTCTGTACTTAAAGGTCACATTTTATTCTTGCTCTAATGAGATCAGTAA